CAATTCCATCAAGCCATCACCTTCAAATCCAACTCCACCCAAAAACTCAAGCTGCCAACATTCAAAAGAAGGTCTTGGGGTTTCGGTAGTTGTAGGTTGAGCTTGGAGGTGGTGAGACTTGATATTTCTCAATCTTCATTTTGTTTTTCATTTTATTTGTGAATTTGTTTATTTATTTTGTCATCTTCACGTCTTTTTAAAATTATTTTTATTATTATTTTATTGTTCATGTAAGCTAAAAAGTGAGACTCATCGTCGCCACATAAACATTTAGCAGAACAATTAATTGGAGCTTAATAAATGTGACATTTCCAATAATTTGGGTAGAGCCGAACCTAAGAATTTGAAGGCCTTATGCGAGCCTTCAAAGGGGGTCCTAGAGTTCTCTAACCTCCAACTTTTTGTACGTTGATATGTATAAAAAAAATTGCTAAATACATGAAAAGGTCAACTTCTATGTCAAATATCATTAAAAATTAATATCAAAATGAGAAAGATATACAAACATTATTTACATATTACTCGTCTCGTGTTTTTACATGCAAATGCAACAATCAACTTTCAATTCAATATCCTAAAACAACAAATTGACAGAGAAGCAAACTGAAAACTCAAATTCCACCCATTACCCATATATTATATATTAATATAAGCAAAGCATAGGCAATCAAGTAAATTCAGATTCATCAGAATAAAGAATCAAACCACATTAACAACTCTATTCCACCCATTACGACATTACCCTAAAATTGAATCCATAAACCACTAAAAGATTGAATCTCTAAATCCCTAAAATATTTCAAATCCTAAATCCATATTGTAATCCAGAAACCCCTAAAGGATTATGTGACAGCCCGTCCCGGAAATAAATTATGGATGGCGTGAAAAGACGATTTTGCCCTTGGACGTTGAATTTCATTGTGGTATTTGTGTGGTTAAAATTATGGAAGTGGACCAATTATGTTGAGTCCTAATTATTTGGAACCAATTAGGACTAACTTTATGTATTTTTGGGTTATGATTGGTTGGGGAGATTTGGACCACACACAAACCTATCATTTCTCTCTCTCTCACTCTTCCGTACCCTCTCTCACTCTCGGCTTCACTCTCTCTCTCTCCTTCAAACTCGTACGGACAAGAGAAAGGACACCCCAAACTTCACTGATCGAAGGTTTTAAGGTAATATTCTTGTTCCCTACCATCCCCTGAGTCCATTGGTACAAGTTTTGGAACTTAGAACCCTCGAAATCACGTCGAACCATAACCCCGTTTGTTATCATTGTTCATGCACTCGTGAAATGTTGGTTTTCAGGAGCTTAGTAAGGTCTTAAGGAAGCTCGGAGAAGAAGAATCGAAGGAATTGGACGTAAGGAACCCTAGTTTTTTCAATTCCCGATTTAGTCACTATTCACATACTTTTAAACCTTTAAGTTTTTGTGAATTCTAGGACCATGGTAAGCTTAAGGAGGTCCCCACGATGCTCGAAGTGCATCGTTGGTGAGAATTGGACATCGGGAAGCTCATATACGAGGAGTTGCAGAGGTCGCCGGAATATCGAGCTTACTCCAACGTGATCTCGTGGAATTTGAAGCTTCAAATAGGTATAATGTGATTCTATGATCCTTAAGCTTCATTTTGGCGGTGTTTTCGTAGGAAATGGATGAAAATCGAGTGAGTTATAGAGTTTTGAAAATTACCCAGTTTCCCGGCGACTGCGACGGTCGCCGGAGCTGAAGGAAGAAGAAAGAGGAATATTCCATTAGGTTAAACAGAATATTCTAACGGTGTTAAGTCACACCGTTAAGTTTTATTAAAGGACAAACGGAATATTCCCAGAATATACCTGACGGCGTCAATTGACACCGTCAGTGTGCCTGGCACGTGGCCTCACATGGGGGGCGCGTCTGGCCGTGCCTTGGCCGGCGCGTGGGTGGTCGGAAAATTTTTCTAAAAATTTGGGGATGTTTCTGAGGTTGTGTAGATCACAGTGATATATTCATATACCCAATTTGAGCAATATATGAGAAGTTATTAGATAGAGTTGGTTATGTGCCTAAATAACGTTATTTCGGTTACTTCTCATATAGGCGAGGCTTATGCGGAAGATGAGCACAGTTAAGGGAGGCTCGGGGGCTACGACCCTTCGACATATCTGTGAGTGGGCAGTTTTGTTTTCCGTATATATATCTATATAAATGAGATTTCTTACCAGAAAATCAATTTAAGTGAAATGCGATATGAAATGCCATGCAAAATATATGCCTATTTATTTATGCATTAGTAATTGCATACATGCATGATTGGTGCTGCGGACGCACATGTAAGTGCCAGGTAAGTTCATAAATTTAATTATGTAATTGTTAAGTTGATATGATGGAAAGCTCATAAACCTGCACTAGGGTGATTGTGATTTGGTAGAGATGATTCAGGCCTGTACATATATAGTCACCCCCGCACCATATGCTCACAATTGGATCCAATTTAGGTGCCCAGTCGTATAGACCAATAGAGGTGGTTCCGATTCGTAGGTGACTAGCGATTTATCGCATAGCTATCAGGAGAGGATAGCGTGAGCATAACTATATTCACCCAGTCGTATAAACCTTTCCAGGGGTTCCAACTCGTGTGCAGTGTAGTGCCGTACAGGTCATTTGCGATGACTCCGGCTAGATTGATTGATGAGATTGATTATGAGCTATAGTTTCAGCCGTACCGGCCACTATAGGTGGATTCGGTTGGCATATTATTTTTCATGAGCTACTTATATGTTTTGTTGGGATATATTTTGGCATGGCATATAATTCACATACCATTACTTCTAAGCTTGGTTTTGAGACAAGTGTACGTATTACATATTTCTGGGAAAATATACGGGTTTTACAGCGAGGGGTTAGCGTTTTGACAATGTGATGATTTTCGAAAAACTTTGTTTTACTGACCCACTCAACTTTGTTTTGCGCCCCTCCAGGTTCAAGATAGCAGAGCTTTGGTGGGCACGAGGAATCCAACGGTGTTCTAACAGAATTCACAAAAGTAGGACTCACCATCTGATGTTACATCTTAGTAATTGTATCTTTAAAACTTCTGAACTGTGTAAATGGTTACGTCACTCTCACGTGACGGCCAACATGCCTTCTTTCGGGACGGGGTGTGTCAATTCAATCTCTAAATTCCTAAAAAGAAAAATACACTTGTGCGGAGTGTAGAACGAGATTTTTTAAGTGCTAATAACAGTTCCCTAAATATGTATTGTACGTGGCATTAACTTAGACTTTCGCGAATAGACTTATAATTTCTGGTATCTAATAAATATCCAGATTGAAAATATTCATCGATCTATAAAATTTTCTCATGGAGGTATCCCTTTTTTGCCACAGATACTAATATAGAGGCTAAAAGACAATACGATATTAAATTCATATGTGGTCGAGATATTTATGAATTTAATCATTACAATGCATAAACTCAATTATACATTCAAGTTAGATCATTCCTGAAGTTTTGGTCAACAATAAAACTGCTTACCTATGAGTTCACCCTATAAAACGTACAAATGCGATATACTTTTTAACCACAGTTCTATGTATTGTGAATTTTTGTCCACAACTTTTGTGGCATATAAAGGCTAAAAGATACTACAATGTTAAATCCATATATGGTCGAAATATTTATCAGTTTAATCATTAAAATGCATAAACTCAATTAGACATCCAGGTTAGATCAATTCCCGAAGTTTTACTCCACAAAAAAAACTACTTAGCTATGAGTTCGCCTATAAAACGTGCAAAGGCGATATACTTTTTAGCCACAGTTCAATCTAATGTGAATTGTTGTCCGTAATTTTTGTATCTAATAAATATCCACGGTTAAAAATATTCATTGATCTACCAAAAGTTATCATGGGCGTACCCATTTTTCTACCACAAATAGGAATATAGAGGCTAGAAGATTCTCATTTAATTGAAACATACCAAACTCATAAAACACTCTAACCAGAAGCTCATATCGATTATTAAGCTAATTAGTGCTCTAGAAATTTAGGGGAAGAGGAAGAGGTTTGGATGACTACGGAGGAGTAGATGGGAGTGTAGAATGACAACCACGGGAGATGGAAGGATTTTTTAAACAGAGAGAGAAGGGGATTTGCTCCATGGGGATGATGGACTGGTTAACGTTTTATTTTTTATTTTTAAGTAGATTGAGTTGGGTGTAAAAAGAAGTTTGATTGAGTTGAGTTTTGATAAGTAAGAGCGGTTTCGGAAATAATGTTGGGTGTAAATAGATAATAATAGATAAATCAAATACAATATGGATATAAAAAGTAAGTTGTTGAAATACAAAATATAGATTCAAATAAAAATTCCCATAAAATATTCTAGGATTTCTGAGCCTTTGTATTGTTTTGTGGGTGATTTTTCCACAATGCAAGTTTCCTGGAAATTGCAAATCGTTTGACTTTTGTTTATGTTTGTTTCCTCTTTTTCTTTGATGCTTTTGCTTGTTTACGTCGGCAATATGATTTAATAAATTCGTCAATGTAACCTTCCTGGTTGTTTCAAGGGAAGTTTAACAAAAAATTCTCGGTACTATTCATTTTAACGAAAAATCATATTTTTACATTAAAATGTCAATCCTGGTACTATTTATTTTACCCTTTATTTTGTCCTTATCGTTAAAACTCAAAGTTTTCAAGCCATTTTCATTAGTTTTCCTTTGTTTCAATGGGCTTTCCAAATTGGACAAGGATTATCTGCCCTTCCATTTCCGATGCCCTCCCGTACCTTTCTGTTTTATGTAATCACGGTTAAACCACGTCAACATTTTATATTATTTTTTTTATAAAGATAATAAGATAAAAAAGAATAGTAATATAAAATGTTGACGTAGGTTAACCGTGACCACACAAATAGGAGAGCATCGAAGTGGAAGGGCAGACAATCCTTGTCTTCCAAATTATGCACCGACCAAGTTTTGCAAATAAAATATTCTTTTCTCATTGACTATGAATATATGCATTCTTCTTGCTTATCAAACTTGGAGTTTCAGAGAAAGGGTTCAGATCGATTTGGCAAGCAAGAGCGCCGCGACCCACCGCATCTCCTCTGTATCGATTTGTTCTCAATTCTTTCTGTCGCCGAGAGAGGAAGTCTGAGTTTCACTTACCGCCCAACGCCCGCCTAAGCCGCCCAGTCGTCCGCCTAATTCTTTTCCCGTTTTCTCTCCCGATTAACACTTGAGAGGTGTCTCTCCCTATTCAGCCGAGCTCAAATCCCTCGCTCTCCTCAGTTTAGATTAGTTTAAAAGAAAGCAGCCTCTCCCTTGTTTCAAATGCATTTATAAATCTGTGATCCAAAGTTGCTCTCTTGTTTTAGAATTCAGATTTTCAGAGCTGGGTGGTCGTCGTTGTTGTTGTAACTATGGAAGCGGTCCTTGCGTCAGTTGTAGGATCTGTTGTAAAAGTACCATTTGAATGGCTGTTTGAAGCCGCCAAAAAGGCGCACGAGATGGCTAAGACGTTTCCAATTCACCACAGTAATCTCATTTCAACGCTAGACTCTTTGGTACCGCTGATCGCGCAGATAAACCACACCGGAACCAATTCGGTTTCTGAAAATTTTACAAGAACAATGGAGGATGGCAAGAAGCTGGTCGAAAGGTGCGAGGGGAAGCTGAACTACTTTGAAAAGGCTAAATATGCTCAAGAGATTGTTGAATTGGACAAATCTCTTCAAAGACTCTTGCTTCTGCTGGCTGTGCAGTTAGGAGTTAATTCCGCGGTGGTGCTCAACCGAATTGATGCAAATCTTGTGCCTCAAAATCAAATCCGATACCGTATTACAACTAGGTATGCAGTTCCTTACCTTCCACACGATACACTTCGGCTGGATACACAATTGGCACAATTGGCTGAGATCAGGATGAAACTCCTTACGGACAACGCGCCGCCAATGCTTGTGCTCACTGCTCTGCCAGGATGTGGGAAAACCTATTTGGCAAAAATGCTTTGTCATGATCAACGAGTCAAAGGTATGTCTATAAAGTTTTTAATTTTTATGCGTTGCGGCTAGACCCGTAAACGGGTCTGGCTTATGAGGTTTGAATCGGGTTTAATCTGAACCGTTAAGTTAACATATCATCTGAATCAAACTCATTAAACTAACGGGTCATCTAAACCGGTCTCGTTAAACTAACGAGTCACCTGTTTCATCTGTTCATCTGTTAACAATTATTATTATAATTTTTTTTCATAGAGTTTATCTTTTGTTGTTAATACTTTATTGAAATTACTAAAACATTCTCAACTAACAAGTGCTAACAGGTTTAACGGATTGACCAAAGTGACCCGTTATTTAACGGGTTCATCCGTTAGAGATCCGACCCATTAAGTATCCATCCAAATACTAATATTAGCTGGTCGGATCCAAAATGCCAGGTTTAGTTGCGGCTAACATTTTTTAGATGCGCAATTGATGATGCGCACTTACGGTTGTCAATGTGTGGTCATAGTTTGTCCCCAAGAACATTTCATCACAACGTAGAACGACTGCTACCTATATACTAGTGATATCAGTTCTTTTCTATCCTTTTTTCTTCTAATTAGTAATGTTACATTCCTACTTGTTTTCCTGGCCAGCTAAATTCAACAATATCTTCTTTACCACGGTTTCCGAAAACCCCAACATTGATGTCCAAGAATTCTGCCAACATGCCGGATTCAGGTCACCTGCATTAGAAAATGAAGAAATTGCAGCTGGGCAAAATCGTTTCCTATTAATCTTGGACGATGTTCCGTCTACATCAGAATCCCTTCTTCACGAGTTTAATCAAATCAACATTTCAGATTCCAAGATTTTGGTGACATCAAGATGCCATTTTCCCAAAGTCGGGTCCCCACATGAAGTACAACCATTGAGCAATGACGACGCAGAGACTCTTTTTTGTCGTTCGGCATTCCGGAATACGAGCCTCAGCAAAGGTGATTTTCAGGAAGAGTTGAACAAGGTGATTTATGAGTTTGAATTTCTAATATACATGCTTATTTATGCATCCTTGCTTATAAAAAATATAACTTAGTACACAAATCACCCATGCACGCAAGTGAACCCGTAGATTTTACCATATCTGTAAATAGTTATTCACCTTATTTGGGAAAATTGGGCTGCAGATAGTAAGCCACTGTAAGAAATTTCCACTTGCCATTACAACGATAGGAGGGTCACTTTGTAATCAGCCTATAGAGAAATGGATACTCAAACGCACAGAATTATCTGAAGGTTCGATTCTCGAGTCAGAGGAAAGTTTGCGTGTGGTCCTCCAAAGTTGCTTAGATGACTTGAATAAAAGAATGGCTACTGTCAAGGATTGCTTCAAAATGGCTACTGTCAAGGATTGTTTCAAAGACCTTGGTTTATTTCCCAAAAACCAAAGAATCCCCGTTGCTGCCCTCCTTGATATGTGGGCAGAGTTCTATGAGGGATCAAATGATAACATGTCAATGGTGAACCTCTACCAGCTCACCATCTGCAATTTGGCCAGTATTGTAATAACAAGGTATTCAAACTTTACTTTGATAACTAATTCACTATTGTGATCTGCACGTTTCAGAAATTTCTTCTGTGAAACTAAATTTTGATCACCACCAGGAATAAGGGTATAGATGGCTACTATGGTGAACACTTTGTTCTCCAACATGATATGCTTAAATTGCTATCAATCCTTGAGAGTAGTGAAGACCCGATGGGCAATAGACTGATTATCGACATACGTGAAAAGGAGCTTCCACCAACATGGTGGACGGAGAACCAGCAGAAAATGAATAAGGCTCGCTTGGTATCTGTCTCAACTGGTTGGCATCTCCGAACTCTCTTTAGAAAATAGATGCATACATATATACAATCATGTACTACAAGCTCACAAACGTAATTTCACATTAATTTCCTCCCCACAGTCGCATCATATAGCACATTGTTTATTTGCAGGCGAATCCTCCTCAACAAAGTGGCACAACATGGATCTACCAAAAGGCGAGGTTCTAGTTTTGAATTTTCAAGCAAAGAACTATGCCTTACCCAAGTTCATGAAGAAAATGTCCAAGTTGAAGGTTCTAATAGTCACAAATGATGGCTTCTCACCTGCTGAGCTAAGCAACATTGAACTGCTGTGTTCTTTATCTAATCTAAAGAGACTAAGATTCGAGCGTATTTTGATTCCTTTGATAAGCAAGATGAGCATTCAATCGAAGAGTCTAAAGAAGATATCTTTATTCATGTGTAACGTCAGAGAAGCATTTGGAAACTCTTCCATCCAAATTTTTGAGATATTCCCATACCTAGAGGAGTTGCACATCGACTATTGTAGCGATTTGGAGAAATTGCCTGCCAAGCTATGTGATCTTAAACGCCTAAAAGTTCTCAGCATCACCAACTGTCATAAGCTATCTGTCTTGCCTGAAGACATCGGAAAGCTGGAGAATTTGGAAGTGTTGAGGCTAAGGTCCTGCACAGATTTGGAAGAGCTTCCAGGCTCGATTGAGAAACTCAGTAAGTTGTACTTTCTTGACATATATAATTGTTCCAGCATTAAGGAGTTGCCCGAATGCATTGCAAAGATGAATGGTTTAAGAAAAATCAACATGGCACAATGTTCAAGATTGAATCTGCCTGTGTCAGTGTATGATCTTCATCAGCAACTAGAGAAAGTGACATGTGACGAAGACAAAAGAGATTTCTGGGAATCTGTCTTCTCAAATCCCGACAAAATAACGGTGGCTAATGAAGAATTCAACCTGAATTGGCTCCACAAACCTCAGAATTGAGAGCTCTCCTTCCACGATAAGTATTGGAGCAAAATGTCCTGTGTGTGATTTGTGAAGTTTATTCTTCCCTGTTTCTCATTTGGTGTTTGTATGAGATATTGCATCATTCCACTGTCTTGGATTTCCCTGATTTTCTTCTCTATATACTGTTGAAATGGTACCAGGCCATGATCTTTTTGTTTAATTTCTTAAAGGTTTTAGCTTTCAAGAATTGGGGATTCGAAGAATAAGAAATGCAGAGAGGCAGAAGTGAGTAATTTTTTTTCATTGTAATTCATACATCCAAAACCCTAGCATATAGAAGGCTTGGAGTGGTCCTATTTTTCAGGGATCAATATCAGTCCTCTAGAGCATCAGGAGTTGTGATCCTTTCACTTGGGAATGGATCCAGCAACACAATCCATTCAAGGAATGAGAACAAACACAGCTGTTCATCTTTCACGAAATAGTAACTCTACTAGCCGTTAGACATTTAAACTTAACGGCTAATACTAAAAATAGAAACTTCCATCATCTTCGATTTCTTCAAGTTCATCTACAATATTTGTCATCTGTAGGTTGATTTCAAGTCTGAGAAGCTCTTAATTCTCAACAGCCTCTCCTAAGCTGCTCACTGCCTTCACTCCAAGCTTGTGCCTTAAGTAATTGAGTCTTTCTCTAGGCAGTGCCTTAGTAAAAATATTTGCGAGTTGTTCCTCACTTCTGCGAAACTTCACATCAATCAACCCTTTTTGTAATGCTTCTCTTATGTGTCTAGTTTTCTGGTTGAAGATAGGGTTCTTCACCATAGAAATTGTAGACATGTTATCACAAAATAAAGGTGTTACATCAGTTTGCATTTCCTCAAAATCATCAAGAAGAAATCTCAGCCAAATTGATTGAGCAGTTGCTTCTGCTGCTGATACATACTCAGCTTCAGCAGTTGATAGAGCAACTGTGTTTTGCTTCACTAAGGCCCATGAAAACACATCACTCCCAAAGCTAAATGCATATCCATAGGTGCTCCTGCTATCATCATCATTTCTTGCCCAATCAGCATAACAAAAACCAACAAGAATTGTTTTCTTGTCTTTCACATATTCAATTCCATAATTTAGTGTACCCTACACATATCTCAAGACTCTCTTAGCTACTCCAAAATGCTTCTTTGTAGGACTGTTCATAAACCTTGCTAGTAGACTAGCAGCATACATCAAATCTGGTCTAGTTGTTGTCAAATACAACAAGTTACCTACAATCTTTCTATACATGCTTTCATTTGCCAACTCACTTCCATCACCTTCTTGAGTTTTTCTCCTATGGGTAATGGAATTGACACAAGCTTGCAGTCTTCAAGACCAAATTTCACTAGGAGTGACTTTGCATACTTACTTTGATGAATGAATACACCCTTATCAGTTTGTAGTATTCCCATTCCCAAGAAATGGTGAAGCGGCCCCAAATCAGACATCTCATATCTCTGCATCATTTCTCTTTTGAACTCACTAAGTAATCTCTCACTACTTCTAGTGTATCATCAACATACAATGACACAATGAGCAATCCTCATTCTTCATCAGATCTTGTATGTCACACTCGAAAACTAGAGATGTGAGATTAAGAGAAATAACTAGAACAAAGTGATTGTTCAAGGGTGCAACACAAATCTCATCTTAAGATTATGTCAATGAAAATTTAAATTCCACAATTCCATTAAATCAAACTACGAAAGTCAATTTAAAGAAATAGAGTTAAAGATCTCATGGTAATACAAACTACAAAAGCGACCTGAACCGTAAAATTCACCGAAAATAGCTCATTCAACCAAAATGAGTGAAAATTTCCAGATCCAAAGTAGACACATGAAACTAAGTTGTGTCAAAATTTCATTGATTTTTGAGTTCAGGAAGTATAGGAAAATTTTAAAACTAAAACAGGCATGCTGCTGTTTTCCTGTAAAAACAACTTCAGCAGCACCAAATTACTTTGCAAATAAAACTGTCTATATTCCAAAGAACAAAAATCTGAAATTTTGCAACATACCACTTAGGTAATAGATACACACCCACAGTTTTAAACATAACCAAGTTCATAGTGGTTCTTCAAGAGCCATTCATAAAACCTTTCAGATTATAATGAGTTCACAAAAGACTTTCAGGGCTTCTAACAAGAAAACATTTTTAGGCCATTTGAGGAAAATGTACATGAGCAAAACTATACAAGCCAAAAAACGAGTAATTACATATACATAGTTTTCATAGCCCAGGTAAGTAGAATCTCCAACCCACCAAGGTCGACATCATTTTAGTCTACTACGCAACAAAAGGATCATTACAGATAGAGACTAACTATACAAACACTTTGGTAGCTCACCCAAAAGAAGTGTACGTCTGGACTCCATTCTACTAGCCCACACTAGAGCTGCCACTTGAAAATCAACTAGTCGACTCTACACACCTGAAAGTACATGTTTAGAAAAACGGGTGAGCATAAATGCCCAGTAGGGGTTTTTCCATAAGTCCGTAGTCATTTAAAATTTATGGTGCACACCAGAAAGTAATAAGAGTGATTCAAAACTATTTATATTCATTACCACGAAATCCAACAATCTGAAATATGCTAAAAAAATGCTTGGAAGTAACATATGACAGAAAAACCAAAGTTTTAGAACCTTAGTAGCTTTGATAACAACAGTACCACACACAAGTTCAGAGTCACTTCCTTTTTCATAAGGATAACAAAGCCATTATCATTTAAAGAAACACAAACACAACTAATCTCAAAGATTTTCTGTTATCCCTAAACAAGTGACTAGCAGATTGGAAAGAACTGTAGTAATACCTGGCCAATTTACATATCACACGTATTTATCACTTTTATAACTCATTCTCACAGCCCACACATGGAGCTCTTCCCGGGGAAACATTGGATCATTGTTCCCATAATCAACAACTTCACGGGTTATTGTGCCCATTCATACATTTCTCAACATTCACATCTGCACAGCTATTATACTACTTTCCACCTACTTTCACAATTTGAACATTCATATCAAGATGCTTCAAAATTTGACATTGAGTAAAATCAGAGGCATGCACATCAAAACAAAATCTTGAAAAATCATTTCAATCACTTTAAACTCACCAAAGTTGTAGCAACGGAATTCAAATCATTAAGATCAAACCATAGAGAAATATTTTCTTCACTTCTTTCACATAATCGAAAAAGAAAAACATTTTAAGTAAGCTTCAAATAATGCTCAAATGCCAACAATCCTTGATCAAGTAAAAATGAAAAACCAAAATATTTTATTTTTTATTAAAACTCCCCTACCTCAACACAATTTCTTGATATTCAACTCCCAGGGTGTTCGTCAACTTGTTCCATAGTCACCTTGGCCTTCTCCTCCTTATCTATAAGTAAAAAAAATCATCACACACCACTTATACAAAATATCAGACAACGAACCCTAATTCAAGGTTAATTGGGGACTTTAATCAAAGGTGCTCAACTCAAAAACTATAACATGAACTATGATACTTTCATGTTTCCTACTTCCACCCAAACTAATTCATGGGTTATCAAACCAAATAACAATTAGATCCCAAAGGTAAGAAATAGATACCTTAAATGGAGACAAAAGAAAGATCCTTGTTCTAATCTTCACAAATAGAGGAAAAGAAAGCTAATTTCCTCATCCTTCAATTTTCTTTTTGACAATTTAAGGGCTAAAAGGGATAAACCCCTTAATTCCTTTCGGCTAGAAGGGAAAGCAGCAAATATGAGGGGGTTTTCTAGAAACCCCATCCCCTTTTAATCCCTTTTTCTAACATCAGCTTTCCCTTTCTTTTTTTTCTTTTTTTTTAAATTCTTTTCATTTAGTTATTCTCTTTTCAAGCCAAAGCTTGGTCTCAAAAGTAAGAGAACTTTTAATGGCCACAAGTAATCCACTCTTAATCACCACCTAAAATTTTGGGGATATTACATTGTATATAGTGTAGCCTCACTAGTGCATCTCTTGAACTTATAATTAATCGAGTAAGTATCAATCTCACTATACCAGGCTCTGGGAGCCTATTTTAAACCCTATAATGCCTTCCTTAGCTTGTAAATCTTGTGTCTACAATTCTTTAATTCAAAGCCTTCAGGTTGATCAATGTACACTTCTTCTTCAAGCATTCCATTTAGGAATGCTAATTTGACATCTAACTGAAATAACTTCCACCATTTTTGTGCTGCAAGGGCAATGAAAATTCGAATTGTGTCTAACCTTGTCACTAGGGCAAAGGTTTCATTATAGTCAATATCAGGCTTTTGAGCATAACCTTTTGCAACAAGTCTAGTCTTGTGCTTTTAGACAGTTCCATCCAAATTCAACTTGGTTTTAAACACCCATTTCACTCCTATGATAGCTTTATCAGTAGGTCTATCTATTAGCTGCCATGTGTCATTTTTCTCAATCATTTCAATCTCAGCATTCAAAGCATCTTGCCAAGCTTGATCATGTGCTACTTCTTGATAGTTTTCTGGTTCAACAACGCGCATGTGACATCTTGCATATATTTCATCCAAGCTTCTCATCTTCACATGTGTTGAACTAGGTGTTGAATTTTGACTTTGAGTTTCACTCCTGCTAATGGATGAACTGGCATAACTTGAAATTTGTTGGTGACTCTGAGTAGTTTCAACTTGAGTTTCAGAATTTGAATTTTCATGCATATCAATACCATACACATCATTTCCCAAGCTAAAAGGTATTGAGAGTGTTTCAACTTGCCTACATTCCCAACTCCAAGATCGATCTTCATTGAACACCACACTTCTAAAGAGGATAATTTTCTTGGATTGAAAGTCATAGACTCTATAGCCTTTCTCACAGCTACCATATCCTATGAAAATGTTGTTGCTTGCCTTTTCATCAAATTTATGCCTTAGTTGTGATGGAATATGTGTAACATATGCAATCAAGCACTTTCAAATGCTTTATGCCAGGTTTTCTACCTGTGAAAGCTTCAAATGGGATTTTGTCTTTTATTGCAATTGGAAGTCATCTAATCTACAAATACATTGCAGTCCCAACTACTTCAGCCCAAAATCTCACAAGAATGTTTTTCTCATCCATCATTGACCTTGCCATTTCTCTAATGGTTCTATTTCTTCTCTTAACAACGCCCTCATGATTTTGTTTATAGGAACTTACACGAG